TGTCTACATTGGTCTTAAAATGAGTTAGATAGTCCGGCTGTGGACTGTTTGCTTAAACACGTTAATATTCTTAATCCTTGATCGTTTCTGCGTGAATTAAATATTGGCCGTTCAATAGGATTCGGGGGGGGGGGGTGCATCAGGCGAACGTACGCAGGTGGAGGGGGGTGTAAAAGGTTCACGTGCACACAGGGAGGGGGGGGGGGTCAGGTATTGACAGATTTTGCATACGTACTAAATGGATGGCCCCGAAGTATTAATTTGACAATAAACCAAATTGCCGTGATATGGTGGATACCACAATAGGCAGCATTATAAGTTCCATGATAATAATATCGGTCTGACAAAATATAAATAAAATAACAAATTCAATAACATCGTGAAAATGAATGTCTTATCATGAAAATAATACTGTGGCAATCCTGCAAGAAGCCACAGTGCCCAGGGCTGCATTGTCCTACATCACTGTGCTTCTCGTGCAGTCGCCTGGGTTCAATACCCGGCTGGGAACAACAACACCAAAGACATGGTCTCTAAATCTCGACCGGGCTTCTCGGAGGTCATTTTGGCCTAAACTTGAGTGCACAATTCAGTGGGGAGACAAAAGTAGCCAGGCATGCGTGGAGTTGGTCTTTCCACCTCATTACACATCTGCAATACTTTCCTTAATTGGTGCTCACTAACATCACTTAGCCAAGCAGTCGATCAGGCTAAATGGGGGATCTCTGGCTTCTGTGTGAGTGGAATCTCTTTCTTCCAGTGCTCCTCCACTTCTGATCAATTTGAAATGGTAACTGTTAATATATTCCATCACGCAAGTTAATAAAGCGAGCCCCTCTCTTTGGGGAGCAGAAACAATGAGAGGCACTTGGCAGCTGCTTAAGCGGAGGGTTTTACATTTAATTTAGAGCAGAAGAACCCCGTTCACAAAACGGTCATTATGGGGAACTTAAAAAATAGAATGACATCAAATGTATAGTGCTGGGGCATTAGAAACAATGTAAAAAAGTGAAACTGAAATATAAATTGCATTGACTGTAAATGAGTTTGATGCACTCACTGATATAACAGAATGATTGCCTCTTGCGTTATATTTAAATTCATCACTGGAGTGACACCAGTGGGGAGGGTCAAGCAAAAACTCGTCGATGATAAACTTGCCAAGCCTCTTTTGGGCTGCCTTGGCTGTTATCTGTGTAGTCGTGGGTTCTATTGAGGCGCACACTTGAATCTGGAGGCAACACGTTTTATTTACTTACACAACAGGTAAGTCGACACTCAACGGGATAACGACTAAGGGTGGTGACCACCACAGATAGCTACATAACCACACACGGGAACACGATATAATCGGCTGGGTCAGCTAACACTCTGCCTGGCTCTCGGCGGCTTGTCTGATGCCCGAAGACCGAGGACTTGGCTGGCGAATTCCATTCCGTGGGACAGCAACCACGACAACCCCGCCTGCTTCTCCGCACCGGCTTTTATCCCCCCCCGGCGTGGGCGAGCTCCTCCCCTGGCCACGCCCCATTCCAGAATCTTCTCGAGAGTTCTGGCTCCCCATCACGTGTCCCTCTCACCCCCTTTGGGGGGTAGTCCCTTCCACCTCGTCCGGTCACGTGTCCTCAAGGGCCATGTCCTCACCCGCCCTCCCTCTCACCGTGGCCAGGGATATGCCCCACCACTCCTCCAGGACCATTCGTCACTGCTGCTGCTCTCTAGTGACACCTCGTATGTCACTACATATGAACGGATGGGAGTTGTTGGTAGGGATTCGCTGGATGAACCGATGGTTGTTCATGTTATTGTTGTACAACTTTGATATTAAATTTAATATTAATGGTAGTTTGGTAGAATTTTGACTTAAAACTTTCGTGACTGCAGGAATTCATATTCTATGGTTCTTTCGGTAAAGTCACGTAGATAGAAGAAAAAATGATAACAATAAAATACAATTCCCTTAAGCTCAAGAGTTGTTGACTTCCCTTGTCTTCATGTAACTCTGTACAGCATGCGTGTATGTGTATCAACGTGAAACTTATTTCTCTGCGCTTGGTTTAACATCCCGACTTTTCAAAGGTGTGCTGACTTGCCCGTACGTGTGTGGATTTCACATAGACGTGCGGGTTGTGGTGGTGTATTCAATAAACACATAAGAAGTCTTCAGAGCGGCAGGGCTATATCTTCAATGAAATTAGTTCCCCGTGCGATGGAAGCACCTTAGCAGCTGCTTTAATGTGGCATATCGCTCAGCACCACAGCTGCACCGGCCCGGGCCTGCAGATCGTCACTGCTTCTCCCGAGCACTGCTGTACAGGTCAGATGATCAATACTTGGACGAATTGAAGCTCTTAATGGCCATAATAATCCCTGGGACCAGTATTGCCTGCGAGCAATTCTGCCCAGATACGGACCTCGTTATCACTCGCCGAGGCTGTGTCCATACTGCAGAGCCTCGAGCTGTGTTTACGGTGGCTCGAGAAATGCGGCACAGAAAATATAATGCTGCCCAACGGTGTCCTCTTGCATTTATAATGTGCACATAATATATATTACATCTGTTGTAATCCATTTCCTATATATTATTCACTTCAAACAGTATTCTAGTGCATTTCACGATGCATTATAAAGCAATATCATGTTTGGGCCCTTTTGTCAATACACTGCTGGATGAGGCCTCTCCACCCCGTTTCAGTTGTGAGGGTTGTTTGACCATACTTCACCACGACGGTCAGTGTGGGTTAAGGGGTGGGGGTGGAGAACCAGTTCAGTAATTTGCCACTGATGTGAGCTTGGCAGGAAATCGAAGACAGGTGACCGAGTTCAGTGCCGTGTTCTATTCACTCCACCCCAATGTACGTTACATACTGCACAGCGTATTCCAGTTCATGTAATAAACATTACACCCTACTTAACGAAATTCTAGTGCATTTAAAATACATGATATACTATGTCATAATATTCTCAGTGCATTTCGCATGTGTTATTACTCGCAGTGCTCACTCAACTCACGGATTCCTGGATTTACACCTCAATTTGGCAGCCAGCACTGAACTTGTATAAAATATGTAGATCCTGATCTATTATATATGGACGATTGCTACTGAAAGACTGATATTAATTCCTATATTTCAGAAGGATAAGAAAGCTGAAATTTGGTTTTAAAAAGTAACATCACTGTTTGAGGCTCTTATGCCTGTAACTAGAAAGAAGAATTTTAATTTATTTTCAAATTTGGGCCCAGCAAAGATGATAATGATTGACTTCGCTGATTGTCCAAGGCTCTCATAGAGGTTCACATTGTCTTACGTCTCAAGCTAAACTGTTAAAAATATGATCCCTATTATACAGTGAACCGAGTTATTTGCTTCACAAGCAGTGTGAGCCTGAAGCCGATAAACAGCAAGCTAAGCCCAATCCTGGTTGTGATTGGGGGCGTACGAGTAACTGGATATACTCAGCAGCGGCATTTCATCATCACCACCAGCTTTAATGATGCGTGACAAAATCGACACGATGCAAAGAATAAGCTGACATTTTCACAGCCCGTGTGTGGCAGCAGCAGCCCGGTAGCTGAGGGATCTTCGAAAATCGTCTATTTTTGTTTGCTCCCAGTGTCTTCAGCAGCAGCAGCATTCAGAGCTTATAACTCCGTGTGCAGTGACACATTTTGAAGTGGTGTTTCTAAAGCACTGAAAAACTTGCAGGCTGGGAGAGAATTCCCACCCAGCTACTGGCAGCTGACAAGTCAGATGCCATGGGACCGTGAGGTCAGCTGGGTCTACAGAGTCATCACGTAAAGAAATAGAACACCCGAGATGTATGGCTCCAAAGGTAGCGGCATTCCCGAGCACCTTATCCAGGAGCTGTGTGCCAAGCTGATTCATGAGGAGGGGACCCAGTGTTGCGAGGGACGCTAGTTAGGCTGCCTGTTATTTTTCGTGCTGACTTTACACTGAGCGTACCTTGTGTATGTAGGTATGTATGTTGAACTTCTTTCGCACCATACATATCCAACCATGGTTATCGGAGGTACGGGGGAAGGACAACAAACTAAACACAAAGCACTTCTGGTTGTCCAACATTATAGGCACTAGTGGTCCAACATCTTGGAAATATTCTCAAGGTTCTGTATCCGTGATGCCTCCTCGCATCCCAGCTCTCCATTCACCGCACATTCTCCTCTGCTCGGTTATAAATCGGACAGAGTGGGCGGCACGCGGCTGTCAGTTTAGTCGAGGCTGGGTTGTAGGTGTGATCCTGGGAGTTTGAGAAATATCGATCTTGGATCCACATCGCATCTCCTGTGCATTTAATTGTTTTCTAGCATTCAGCGCTCAACCTCAAGTTGATTTCTAAGCCATTGCTATTTGTTATGACACGGAATATGTGAGTTGCAGCGTGGAATGACCTTAAACATAATTGATAATGGACTTTTGGACTTTTCTGTACGTTGTGCCCTCGCATAATATACCAAAATCAACTCTGGTTTTAGCCCAGGGTGCTTGTTCAATGTTTAAAATATGACTGCTCCGGTTTTTGTCATGCGAATTCCAACATTCTGACATGCTGTGAAGTGGACATTAACGATCTTGACAATCATCATTCGAAAAGTAGGCTCTTATTTTTTGTCACGTGGTGGGGTAAAATGTGGATACTCCCATCTGTTTCAGCGTGCCAACATCGGCCCAAATACCCTCGAGATGGGCTGTCCACAGCTCCCTCTAGTGGGAGCCTCTGCTGCCAGCAGTGGCATGAGCAGGCTATTTCAGGGCTACACCAGTGTAGACACCTGCGGGCAGGTGGCGACCGTGTTGATCTAGGTCGACTCGGTCTCAAATGTGTAAACATCGCCACTCAGGAGACAAAGGCAGCCGAGCGTGGTCCCGGCCACCCACCACCTCGTGTGCCGTGCCGGCCTTCATGAGCGCGACTCGCTAACAGCACTTGCTCCAACAGTCTGTTCAAGCTGCACGGGGGATCTGTCTTTGTATCTGCAGATGAACCTGCGGCTCATCCTTGTGAGCGGGCGGACCAAGGAGTTCCTGTTTGCTCCCTCGGACTCGGCGGCTGATATCGCCCGGCATGTGTACGAGAACTGGCCAGTCGGTGAGCCCCGCACGCCGTACTCAACTGCCACTGCTCTCTGTTGCGTCTTTGTGCAACAGTCAGCCCCATTGTAATGCCACCTCGTGTGTGTGTGTGTACGTGTTTGTGTGTGTCCTGCCACGTGGGGAGCGGTAGGGTAGCGGTTAGAGCACTGCGCTACAAACCCGGCGACCCAGATTAAATTCCTGCTCACAGCCACCACCAGTGACTATTATCTGAACCGGTCCTGGGCCTCCACTAGGTCGACTCGGCCTCAAATGAGTACCTAGTTCGGTATGTAAGTTTCGCCACTAGGGAGACAAAGGCGGCCGGGCGTGGTGCTGGCCACCCACCCCCTTCCTGTGCCATGCCGGCCTTCATAGGTGCTCGCTAACAGCACTTTCCTCAACAGTTTGTTAAGGCTACACAGGGGATCTTTGTCGTTGTCTTTGTCCTGCAACGTGCCGGTGCTGTGATTGGAGCCATCGCGTTCATGAAGTCACCGATTCTGATCCCAGTATAATATCAGCGCTGCGTAATGAGAGATCGAAAGTGGTTGTTCAGTGGAATTATTGGCCCCTACCAGATATGGACTATACGATGTTTTAAGTAATCGATTACTCAGAATCAGATTTTTTATTTAGACTGGAAGAATCCGATGAGCTGTGAAGCTCTTTTTCAGATGTCCAGTAGTGGCGAGTCATAAAGTTACAACAGCAAACAATACAAAAACCGACATTAAAATATAGGAACGCTAAGAAAGTAAAAAAATATAAATAAATTAAATGTATAAGAACAAAATGCATAAAACAGTTCAAGAACACACCAAGACAACCCAGTCCCTCAATAAAATTGTACATTAAATGTTTACTATCGATGCATGGGTAAGGATCAAAGTTATAAATCAGTCCTATTAATTATTCGACGGATCAGAAAACTCTAAAAGAGTTGGGAGGGGGGGGGGGAAGTCTTACCTTTGTTCCCACGTGTTCCGCTGGGCTGCCCATTATATGTGTAGTGCTCTTAAATGAAGACACACTACGTGGTTAGGGGCAATCCGTGTATTAACACTTCCCTTAATCAGAACCTTTTCGGAGCTGGTTCTATAATTGTTGTAGACGTCCTTGTCTCTACGTAACCCCCTAGACACGAGGCGATTGCAGCTCCACGACCCGACCCACCGAACATTACTCACTCAATCGACCCCAGTCATCTCCGCGCTCCCCTTTTATCCTGGTGCGCGCTCTATCCCCCTAGTGGCAGATATGCTGTCATTACACTCGACCCTCGATCATCTCTGCGCCAGATCTTTACTCAGGTCTGCTTGCCATTTATTCACTTGTGCTCTCCTCTCTATTCACTCTCTCTCCACTCCACACTTCCACCCGTGGCGGGTACACGCTACACCCTGTCCCTTCACCCCTTCCTCAACTACCCTGTCAGGGCTACCCCTCGGTCTCCCCTCTCGTCTTCTCCAGGCGGGAGGTCAACCCACACCGCCCGAGAGCGAGGTCCCACCTCCTCAGCCCGTAGCCCCCCCCCTCTTCTCTCTCTGCCCGGGACATCTTCCTTCCTCTCTCTCCCGATGTCCCCCCTTCATATCCCCCCTCCCCGGGGCCCCTCCCTTCCGCCAGCTCCCCCCTTGGCGGACGTCTTACGCCCCTGCTCCCATCATGCGTCGACCTTCCGCCACTCATCCCTTGGCCTGCACCTCTTCCCGCGCTCACCTCTCGTTGTGTACTCGCGGTACTCCTCTACATATGTATGTTGAGCTTCTTTCGCACCGTACCTAACCAACCGCGGCTAAGCGATGATGCAAGTTTCTCAAATTCCCCCCGGCAGTAGAGATGGGTCCAGCACAGTCAATCGGCACGTCAAGTATGGCGGGATAAAGTGTGGATATCCCCACCTCTTCCAAGATGTCTGGTCAACTTGAATGGGCAGGACAAATACCCTCTAGAGGGGCTCTACAGAGCTCCCCCTATTGGAGGGTCGTCCACCATCAGTGCCGTTGGGAAGCAAATTTCAGGGCGGCACCTTTACCTTTACGATTAAAGAACAAAGTTCAGCACTTGTTTTTCCCAACCACCGTCCATTATTTCCCCTTTCTGTGTTCACAAAACTGTGCATACAAATAATTGTGCATGTGATAATTAGCTGTAAATTATATGCTAAAGATATGCTTGTTGAAGCAAAGAAAAGACGTGGAAACAAAACAAAAATTCCACGGGGAAAATCAAGTCAAGAAAACGCGTCGACTCTTGAATCGAAGGACGACTCCGAACCGCGGGAGTTTATCGAACTGCTACGTACCGTGCTCACACAAGTCACCTGTTCTCCACAGCCGCATTGCAGCAACACACACACAGCCAGCTGCCTTGCAGAGTTTACCAGCATCGCTCTTATTTTATAACGGGGCCCATAAGTGACGACAGTGGTAGGGCACGGCTCTAAATTGAGTGCGAGTTTATAGGACAAAGATGCCGAGTTAATGTGCAACTGAATTGGTGCACATTCCGGAGCCGACAGGGCCAATAGCAACTCAGCACTTCACATAAACACGGCGGTTTAAGAGACTTGTGCACAATTAGTCCACAATCATTTTCCAGCTACAGTTGCACCAAGAAGTCTGCGTTGGTTATGAGTGCCACGATGCTTCATGGGGCTGACTTACCGGGCGTTGGAACAGGGGCATTCTTGATCACAGTGGCAGATTTAAACTCATCTGACACTCTTGTGATTGCACACCATTAGGTGCCCTCTTACAGGCCATTCCATTAGATTAGAACGGCACTTCTCAGCGTCGCTCAGGATTTCCATTAGAGCAATGGATGTGCTTCATCGGGGCATTTGCTCTTGTGCTGATGCACAGAGTGCAGATCCAATCTTAAAGGTACATGTTTATTCAAATGCCTTTTGAGTGAATCATCCAGAAAGCACACGATTTCATCAGACTTCGCAAGCTCAGCAGGGCTTGAGCCCAGATAGGACATGGATGGGCGATCGTCATTGCAAAAAACAGGTGTTATAGGCTGCTACAAAACTGTGTTGCACATAAGAGGGCAGTACAGAAAAATCCAATGTATTTATTTTGAAATGCCCATTGTCTATGCTCCCAGTCGTCACCAACCTGTACTGACCAGTGTGGTGAAGTATCGTCAAACACTGCCACGGCCCACATGAAGAGGCCCTCATCCAGCACTGGATTGACAAAAGAGCAGTTTGTGTCCATGTTTCTACCAGACAGCCGTAAAGCTCAGAAGTATTTTAATTTATCGAGGAAAGATTCACCGACGTTGCATTTCCACGACCATAAGAAATCAAACTCATCCCGTGCTGGATCGTTCTTGGAATCCCTCAGCATGGTCCACGTCTCATCCCAACGTTTAGTGCGCCACGTGGCTCTTTGGAATCGGCCTCTTCTCCACTCCCTTCACTCCACAGCCAAAGGGAAGCGATCATAAAACAATAAACATAATATACACACACACTAATTTTAAACAAAGTTTTAATCATACAGGGGTTAGGTTACATGATCCCAGGCTAAAATCCTGAAGTTGACCAAGACGAGGGACATCACTGACCAGCATCTCTCTTCCACGTTGACCCCTTGACATCACGAAAGTTTCAGAGGATGGCTCGAGTAAAAGCGTGCAACAGTTACTCGCTCAGCAAAGGAAGCCACACGGCCCGATTGGTCTTGGCTTAGCCCGGTAATGGTACCACGAAGACCTTGACAAAGCCCACTTGCCTGACTTGTGATCCCGACTGGCTCACTTTCCAGTGGTGGTTGGAACAAGGCGTGCGATGTTTGCCCCATTCTTTAATCACAGATTGAGTGTTTTGAATTTGTGGGAGGAAGAAAGTAGTGTAGGATTCTGACCGATGTCCCAAGCCTGCTTTACCCCATTGGGTTTCCTTCCTTATGCAGAACACTAAATTGACCAAAACATTCATGAGCAAGGGTCTTTATTCACAGATGATGCCTTCCTGGGGAAATAAAGAACAGCGTGTGTGAGCAAAATCTTCACGCAGTGGGCAAACCTGTATTTTGGGATACTTTGGTTTCCCATCAAAGGAGCATCTGTGACCACTCCAGGTGAGCCCTTCTCACCCTGCCTCTCTCTGCCACTACATGCCCGTCTCCTGGGGCTGAGTACAATTGAATACATTTTTTAGAAAGCTGTTTTGCTCACCGTCTTCAAATTCACTGGACTACACGAGAGCCTTTCTAACAAACCAAAGATGAAAGAATATTAAGTTGTGCATTTGTATAGCGAGTTAAAAGATAAAGCCTCCTCAGCTTTGATTTTGTAGAGGCCATGCATTACCCTGGCTGATAATTTGGACCGTTTAATTTTCGGTATGCCTTTAAAACAATAAAATATCACCGTGTGACTATGGGTGAAATGATAAAATATTACAACCACGCTCACTGGAAATGTAGCTGTAGGAATGCTGTGAGGGCCGGGTGTGAGTGGTGTGAGCGGTTGGAGCTGTGGCTGTCGCCGTTACATCACAGACACGCCGCCGCCACCAGTTGTTTGTTGCGAAATCTTCCATCCAAAGAGAACACCGAGCTGCAAGCCACGGTTGGGTTTGCAGCAAGCGAGGAGGAGCCCCTTGCGGTCGCTCGCGCCGACGTGCGCTGGGATCCTGACGTGCGCTGGGATCCTGACGTGCGCTGGGATCCTCTGCTCCATAGCAAGAGGCGACTGTGCGAATCTCACAGGGGCTGATGTCGTCATTTTAGTCCAGCGTCTTCACAGTCGCATTCTCGTCATCTTCCTGTAATCTAGTTACAGAGTTTAATTTCCCTGCCCCTTTTACAGAGTGGAATAGAAAATATATAAGATGTACATTTAAGAAAACCACATTAGGCTTATTCAGTATTCTTAGTTATTCAATTTTTTTTATAGTTTTATAAATAGGGTCATTTTATTTCAGCTTTCTAATAGAGGTGTAGGTCTATATTCACAGCAGAGGGCCGTGCGACAAAATGCAATATTGTACTGTACTTTGATCCAACGTCTATGCTGCCGTCTTCACCCACCCACACCGACTGGCACGGTGAGGTATGGTCACGTACCCCCATGACCCATACAGCATTGGAAGGAGGCCCTGATCCAGCAGTGGATTGACAAAATGACCTTATGTGTAGGTGTAGTAGAGGTGTGACGATTTTTTCATGAATTAGTAGCGATTCTTAAGCACTCGTGAAATACATTGATGGGACGTGTAGGAATCATTGTTTTTCAATTCATTTCTGTTGTATATGCTGGGTTCATGCGAGCCCTGCAGCCATTAGTGTCTGCTGCATTCACTGAATTGTAAAATAAAAATCTCCTTTGGAAACATGACCCTGAATCCTAACAATTTAATCGCTTTGAGTGGCAGGGAAGTAGGAGTCCTTACCCTGCTGATGTTTCTCGCATTCATTCAACATGATAAGTCATGCAGGCCCTTTTGGACCCTATGCGCTTAACCTTCAACAATGCGACTTCGACCCCGATGAAGCTTGGAGAGCTGAATGAAACGAACTCGCAAACACCTCGTGAAAGACCTAACGCAGAAGATCTCTGGGTTTGATCTTCCACGAAGTTCATGGTCCACCTTAAACACCATCAACTGCACAAACCATGGCAGATGCGGATACCTGATGCACAAATGGAAAATTAAAAGTTCTCCAGTGTCCGACTGTGGTCATCCAGAACAGACCGTACAATATATAATGACACAATGCCCGATCCACAAATACGAAGGAGACATCACAGCGATACACAACTCTGCTGCTGCTCCTGATGCGGTTGTCTGACTGGGCCACCTGAATGTGAAATTGTTGTTGTTGCTCTGCATCTGCATCAGTCGTACGAAAGAATAAGATTCGACTTCCTGAGGCGTCATCAGAAGTCGTCATTAATGAATTGGTCAAGCACCCCAAGACTGATGCCTCCCAAAGAGTTCACAGCAATTTTTATGAGGATCCACTTTGGTAAAGGACTTTTAAAAAAGTGATACAGCCCAATAATGTGTTCATGACTTTAAATCGCTTCATTCATGACAATACAGAAGACGAAAAGGTAACGCAATTATAGGAATAAATAAAAGAATGCACAATCCTTTGTCAATTCACTACTGGATGAAGGCCTCCCCACACGGTGTTGGTCTTGGTGATTATTTGAACATACTTCACCACACTGGTTCATGCAGGTTGGTGAAGCCCAGGATAAGGTCAGATCTCACTCACCACTTGATGTAAGCCGTGGCCAATCATCTAATTCAGGTCGCTGTGTTTGTGGCGCAGTGGTTAGTGCACCGTGCCACGAACCCAGCGACCTGAGTCCTCCAGAAACATCGGTTTCAGTGGATTGCAAAGCAAATGTAATACAATACTTATAATAATCACGTAATTATTGTAGTGTTTAGGGTCCTCATTTGGTCTCATTAATTTTGTCCAAGAGCTCTCAAAATGATCTGAACTCGTTGCAGTTCCAATAATTCCTGGAATTTAACTCAGATCGCCTGCCACAGCTAACATCCGTAGCAATCAACTGAACCAGTCATGGGCCTTCTCTACGTCGACTTAGCCTTAAATTAGTACCTGGTGCTGTGTGTGAATAACAATACTGTGGAGATAAAAGTGGCTGATGATGGTGCTAGCCACCCACCCCCTCGTGTGCTGTGCCGGCCTTCATAGTTGCTCGCTAACAGCACTTGCCCCAACAGTCTGTTAAGGCTATACGGGGATATTTGTATTTGTCCACATGTGTTTGTGTGTGTGGTATAGACTGGGAGGAGGAGCAGGTGAGCAGTCCCAACATACTGAGGCTCATCTACCAGGGCCGGTTTCTGCATGGCACCGTCACTCTCTCAGGTAACGCAGATGAGCAGCGCATCGTCTGAACGAGTTGCATTTCCAATAATTACCGCTCATGATAAACTGTCTCTGTCGTTGGAATGTGGAATTCCAACCACTTATTCAGTGCCACCACTGGTGATGACAAGAAGTCCAAATGTTTTTGTTTTAATATCCCTCCTGTGACATTTTTACCAGGCTGCTGTACTATTTGATGGCAAACGTTTACAATTTACTGCAAGAAATTCTTGAATAACTTCACCAAAGAAGGCTGCAGATTTGAGTAAAATGTAACATGCAAAAAGTTTTCCGAACAAATTAAACTTGTATTTTGAAAGGACACTTTTTAATTACGGTTGCTGGGTATGTCTACCTCGGGCAGTAATTGAATGTACACATCACTCCTGGCTCAAAGCTGCCAGTGAAATCGTGCTCCACGCCATTGGTCTCTTTGAGAAAAATGTACGCATGCAAATCTATTTCAACAGTTACAGCTGGGTGGCTTATTTATGAGTATACTCGCCAATAGCCCAACATTAAACAACATTTTTTTCATAATTGCCATTGTTTTGAAAGATTGCACATAAAAGAGTCTGGGATGCAGCACAGTGCTGGGGCTTGGGTGGTGTTTGGCCAATCTACTCATTGATTTGTATAGTCGGGTGTTCATTGCCAGCACTGCAGTTTTAGAGCCTGTCAGAAGATCCTGTGGAGCCACACGGAAACTTTAATTTAACGAAACCGATGGATGGCGTAATAATGGCCAAAGGAACCGCATGACCTCTGGTGAGAATGAATGAAGCCCGGGATACCTGCTTTAACCTCAGACTCTTTGTATTTGCACTGTACATAATGAGAGTCTGTGGATCGGGGATAAGGGATTGTTGGAAGGGATAAAGAAGGGAGTGGATGCAGTAGGAGTTATGACGACCTTGGAGATGGAGCTCTTATGACAAAGGTAGAGTGCATTTAACTTTCTGCAAGCTGTCGACTGCTCGGGATGAATGAGGCTGGATCCGAGAGCAGTCATTGCATTTTGTATTTTGGGGCTTTTCTAATCGGCGTGCTCAGAATTACCTTGGGCTGTGTGACTCCACCATGAAGTGCAACGGTTTGTTATTCAATGGAGCAGATGGATGATCCTGGACAAGGTGTGACTGCTGTATGGGAAGATAAGTGCTATTCTTTGAGTATTTCGGTTAATTCACGTAGATAGGTTCAAAGAAAATAACAAAAAATAACAACACTACGACTTTTCGACCACAACATAAGCAATCGTCCTGACGATCGCTTGTGTTGTGATCGAAACGTCGTAGTTTTTTGTTATTTTCTTTGAACCTATCTACGTGACTTTACCGAAAGACCCAAAGAATATTAATTCCTGCAGTCACAAAAGCTTTAAGTCGAGATAAGTGCTGTCCCTTCATCACCACGTTTATTGCTTGGTTGAGATGGTGCTCCATAAATTCAACGTGAAGACACTATCGTTAACTTTCAGCCTTATTGTGCAACCAGCAACGATTAAGCAACTGGCTTGGCAACGTTGTAGGAGCACAGGACAGTCCCGTCACCTGCAACAGCACCTCTCCGACCATCCTTAATGGCACAGATGAGCCTTATCCACCAGCGGCTATTGTACACCCCACTAAGCCTCATCCACCAGCGGCTATTGTACACCCCACTAAGCCTCATCCACCAGCGGCTATTGTATACCCTACTAAGCCTCATCCACCAGTGGCTATTGTATACCCCACTAAGCCTCATCCACCAGCGGCTATTGTACACCCCACTAAGCCTCATCCACCAGCGGCTATTGTATACCCCACTAAGCCTCATCCACCAGTGGCTATTGTATACCCCACTAAGCCTCATCCACCAGCGGCTATTGTATACCCTACTAAGCCTCATCCACCAGCGGCTATTGTATACCCCACTAAGCCTCATCCACCAGCGGCTATTGTATACCCCACTAAGCCTCATCCACCAGCGGCTATTGTATACCCTACTAAGCCTCATCCACCAGCGGCTATTGTACACCCCACTAAGCCTCATCCACCAGCGGCTATTGTATACCCCACTAAGCCTCATCCACCAGTGGCTATTGTACACCCCACTAAGCCTCATCCACCAGCGGCTATTGTATACCCCACTAAGCCTCATCCACCAACGGCTATTGTATACCATACTAAGCCTCATCCACCAGCGGCTATTGTATACCCCACTAAGCCTCATCCACCAGCGGCTATTGTATACCATACTAAGCCTCATCCACCAGCGGCTATTGTACACCCCACTAAGCCTCATCCACCAGCGGCTATTGTATACCATACTAAGCCTCATCCACCAGCGACTATTGTATACCCTACTAAGCCTCATCCACCAGTGGCTATTGTACACCCCACTAAGCCTCATCCACCAGTGGCTATTGTATACCACACTAAAACACATGCACACACAGATCCTTGCGCATTCCTCCCAGCCCAACTTTGCCATCCTGGCCATACGAGCGGTTTCTGGTTTTAAAACCCGGAGCAATTTTCGCTGAAAATTTCCTTGAGTGGCTTTGAGCCGTTGTGCGAATCAAGCGATCCACTGGGTGCCGTTGTGAGAAGGAAACGCTTGTACGCTGATGGTGCCTCTCGTCGCTTTCCTGCTGATGGTGCCTCTCGTCGCTTGCACTGGGGCTGAAAGTGCTCCAGCTGACGGCACCGTGCTCTTCATTCCCGTTCTCCTCCCACCCCGCTCCCCACCCTGCCTCAGCTCTTAAGCTTCCCATGGGAAAGACGACGGTCATGCACCTGGTTGCCAGGGAAACACTGCCGGAGCCCAACTCCCAAGGTAATGGGGAGGGATGGGCACAAGGGAGGAGGGGGAGGATGGGTGGGGGGGTGCGACCGTAAGTCACATCGCAGATGCCGCGACGCTGCATTGGGAAAGTTGCTACGAGGAGGAGCAACACGATGGACGTCGAGCTGGAAATAATAACCAGGTTAATTTAAATAGCACCCAGTATAACAAAAATTGGCATGAAAATTACTGTGAGAGACCCTACCTGTGCCATCAAACCCTTTTCAGGGGGGCAATCATTCACCACGCCGTTCACTGGGAGCAGCCATAAACCTACGCGCATCACTATTCATGCTATTTCTCCATTGTATTTCTTTCCGCACTGCGCTGCTGCATAATTCACGAGAATGCGAAGAATAAAAGCAGCAACAGCATCAGCGATTGCTGAGGGCAAAGGTCACAGCCCCATTCCGCCAGCCCAGCACGAATTTATTTTTGCTTTTGTTAATCTTGTGTATTTTTCTCACTCGTTTTACCTTAACTGGCAATAGTCGTCACCTGTTTTCAGACCATAAATCACACCTCCCAGAGTGGGTGTGGTGAGATATCGTTGTACAAAGAAAGAGACACAGACTGGTTTGTTATTCTATAGATTTGACAGTTTCATCAATTAGTCAGTTCTTATATTCTAATAATCCACGTAGCTAATCGTGTATTTGTGAACAGATTAGTTTAATCATCACTGGTTTTTTATTGTATTTACAGTAAAAGTTTATTTCTCGAGCGCGATTTCAATTGACGAATACATTGCGTTTTACATTATATAAGGGACTAGCGGGAAGTACCCAGCGTTGCCCGGGTGAAAAAGACACGCACACACATCGACTTACACACACACACACATATGGACTCAAACGCACACACAGACTTACACACATATACAGCGACGTATCCACACATCGACTTACCCACACACACATCGACTTACACATATCAACTCACACACACATCGACTTGCACACATCGCCTTACAAAGATCCCCCTATAGCCGTTACAGACTGTAGGGGCAAGTGCTGTTAGCGAGCACCTATGAAGGCTGGCACGGCACACGAGGGGGTGGGTGGCCAACACCACGCCCGGCTGCCTTTGTCTCCCTAGTGGCGATGTTTACACATCGCACCAGGTACTCATTTGAGGCTGAGTCGACCTAGGGGAGGCCCAGGACCGGTTCAGATAATCGTCACTGGTGTAGGCCGTGAGCGGGAATCGAACCCGGGTCGCCAGGTTCGTAGTGCAGCGTAGCACTAACCGCTACACTACCGCTCCCCACTAGTCCCGTGCAGAGCCCCCGGCCTCGCCTAGATAGCCCAGCCGGCCGAGGTGGCACCTTGGCAGGCCGGGGCTGGGCCGCACTCCCCCCCCCCCCCCACCCCCGCCTTAGAGTAATAGTATGTAAGCGCTATAATATTAGTATCTACCGACCCTATTGTAGTAATTGCACACATTGGGGTGGGGGAGGACATCACACTTAAAAGAATGTCGCTCAGTGTTGTTGTTTTGTTGGATTTTTAACACGAATTAGAATTCCCCCCCCTTGCCGTCACAGAACTAGGGGCAACCACGTCTTGGCTTTGTCGCGCATGCGCAGTCGCGTGCTTTTGTGCGCGCTCAGCGGCATAAGGAAATAAATAAAACTACTTTAAAGTTGACAGATGCAAAATCGTAATAGTGCTGGCTCACCATGGGGCTTATCGCATGGTATGCGGCTACTTTTTTTTTACGTAAACCCCACGGTTCGCGAGCCAAATCCTTTACAAGTTTCGTCCACACACAGACAGACACACAGACACAAAAAATACGTTTATAGGTAAGATGCCGTCATGGAATATTGGTCATTGCACTGCACTTGCAATCCAGGTCACCGGTTCGATCTCCCAGCATGACAGGTGACACAATGGATAGGTTTCTAAAATATGCCCACTTTTGTCCACCTACCAGTCCAGTATAACTGGCTGCACCGCAGTTAATCCATCAGCAGGGCATGTGTGGTGGGGTAAAGTGTGAGTACTCCCACCCCTTTCAAGATGTCTGGCTAGTACAGAGGAGTAGGCCAAAGACACTCTAGAGGAGCTCTCTCTCACGGAGGTACTTACGCCAGGAGTGGCACAAGCAAGTAAATGTAGGGCTGCATCTTTACCGTTTTACATTTTATGTTGTATGTGAATGGTTTATGAAACTGTACAGCCATTATTGATTTTACATGCACCACAATGGCAAAACCAGTCATCGCTTTGTGAATGAAATTGTGTCAACAGCGCACGCAAGCGTGGAGAGGGTGCATCATTCCATGCCTCATGTTAACCACGCACCATCGGTCGATATGCAACTGCTGTTGGAACGATTCACTGCCATTGGCGATTCGATGATGCGTTGTTCAAATGGAGGAACCACTGGTGGCTGTAACCATTTCGTGAATGCATTACATAAAACACATTATCAACATCAGCCACTGTCAATCCACTGCTGAATGAAGGCCTCTCCAAGCGTGCCACCATCCCACATGACCCTGCGGTGTAATAATCCACTCGGCACCTGCACACGAGCTGATGTATTGCTCCATCTCCGAGATGAAAGTCCTCTAGGACGCGCGACATCCCTTGGCTGCCACTCCGTCATTGTTCTTGACCCAACGGCCATCGTCCCTTTTAGCCACGACGCGTTCTGCCCAAGCCTCAGTCGCTTATCTTCACAGTTTGAACGCATCAAACATATAATGCACAGGAATTGAAAAACATTGATTCTCACGCACAATTCAGTACAAGCATTATGAGCTCAACAATTCATATTAATGGATGAATTGCTAAATCAGCAAAAAGCCTCTATTCCACAATTTTTGTCATTTTCCTTGGGTCTTTCGATAAAGTCACGTAGATAGGTTCAAATTAAAAAAATTAACCCGTAAAAACAAAGTTTTTCACTATAAATCCTTTATATGCGTGGCGGCTAGAGTCCTCTTGTCCTCTGGCTTGAGATGGCTGCCACCTATGGGTCAGATGATTGTCTGGCAGCATTAAGCAATTGGTAATGAAATATTTTAAAAAAATTCCCTAAACAGTGTAAAATTTTGGAAAAAAAATTTCACGAAAATTAATTGTCACGCACAACGAGTCTGTGTGCAAAATGTCAGCTCGATTGGATCACAGGAAGTGGGTTAAAAAACGACCGAAAGATTTGCACGGTCGTAAGCAAGCAAGCAAGCACGCAAGCAAGCAAGCAAGCGAACTTAATATAAAGGATTTTAAAAAAACTACGACGTTTTGATCACAACACAAGCAATCGTCATCAGGAGGAAAGCTGCTGAATGCAGACTGTTTTTGTAGGGTGTAGTAGTCCTAGGGTCATAAACGAAGTGGGCGGGGCTAGTGATGTTAATGTGAGAAATGAGCGTGTTAATGTCAGATCGGAAAGCGGCGTCCGCGACGAGTTGCGCGGGTGGCTATGTTACTATGAGAGATTAGCATGTTAATATGAGAGATTATCATGTTAATATGAGAGATTAGCATGTTAATGACAGATCGCAGAGCAGCAACGTATCATTTCTTTTCATTACAGAGCGATATGAAGCTCTGAACTTTAAGCCCTTTTGACACTGGGAAAGAAAAATATACCCTGGTCAGCACTTACACTCGTGAACTTTTATTACGATTTTTAAATACAGGGAAGCGCTTGGTAGTTTTTTCACTTTCATGAAGGCCTACTTGCTCTCCGTTCCTTGTTTTCGTCTTAAATGCTTTTTAATTTGACAAAACAGGCGAGGGAATTTTTATTTGGCAGCTGCTATTCCCCAAGCTATCGTGTTCGATCGTCAAAAGTTTATTTTGGAAATCATGAGAATGGATACATAGACAGTCTGCACTCTCTGCCAGCAGTGAACACACTCATTGTTGATAATGAGTAAGACTTAATCATTTGATTTCACATGGATTAGTGTGATACGTCCGATGAGGTTAACTACCCAACCAAGGACTTGGATAGTCTCCACTTTCTCAGGGTCACACTGAGCAGGGTTAAGTTGGGTCTATGGAGATCATAATCCATTTTTATCCAAACTTGGCCCGCTCTTGGCTAATCTATTTGCACCAGTTACACTATCGTAGTTGCAGCTTGGTAACGAACGCCTCTGCGTCTTTTATACTTAAGTTGTCATTTAGGTTGTCATTGGATATAAATGGAAATGTTATCGATTGCTCCTGCTCTGGCCACTAGTAATCCTTAATATTCATGTCCCCATTTTCTTTGTGTTCTCATGACAATATATCATCGGTCCAATTCTTTCATACGTAAATTAAGATAGCGTTTCCATGGTTTTAACTGCCCCGATTGTTTTATTTCTGCAGTAGAATTATCTGACAAACTGATCAGGACCATTTTATCATTAGCTCTTCACATGCAAATGCTTTCTGCATCATCTCTGGTTTCCACTGCTGCACATAAATATTAGTTACAAAAAATGGAAGAGTGGAATAGTGGTCGATTGGTTAGCGCGCTGTGCTACAAACCCAGAAACCCGTGTTTGATTCCCGATCACGGCTAATATCAGTGGCAGCAATATCACAACTGTTCATGGCCTAACCCCCACCACGTACTCTTTGTAATAACCCACCGTTACGAGCGTGATGAAGAATGGTAAGAAACAACCCATGACCAACATGGTGTGGGAGGCCTTAATCCATTGGTGGATTTCGCATGTCTGAAATGTATTGTTTTTGTTACATAAAATAAATGTAAATAGATAGCACTTCCGATTAGCATGGTTTGGCTACGTAAGGTGCAAAACAAGTTTTACATACATAGCAGACATCAATATGTTGTGCAAAATATAAGTACCAGAGTAATGAAAGAACATGATGTGCCTGTGTGCATGCGTATGAATATGTACACTTCTATGCATGCGTGGCTTCTCACTGCGACCAGACCCCTGTTAATTGCAGTGTCATCATGTTTCACATTTGACCCCATGCCATTTCCACGTCAAATTGCCCAAGTCAGCTTGTTCCATCATCAGCCTGCACTTTACCGTTTTGTCGGAATCTTAATTTTCCTTCAACGTAGATACGTAGAACTTAAAAGAGCATCCCTTCGTTACATTGCAGGAACACGTCGCGTCAGCCACTGAACTCCATCAACCTCCTGGCGGTGGTTCCCTGGATTATTTGTCTTAATCCTATGCCCAAAGCAACAAGCATCAGGAAATAAACCAGAAACGCCTAGCCCTTTTTGCAAAAGTGCTCTCGTCACAGTGGCAGCATAATTAAAAGCCCCTTATGTCTGGGGTCATGGAGTTGCCATTGATGAAATGCACTCCTCACTCGCAGCGGAAGCATAACCACCCACGAGCCCAGCCATGCTGCACTGCTGTTCCTATAGGTAGTATAGGGTATTGAGATAGGGTTAGGCTTCATTATCGACTTAAATAAACGCAACTAATTAACAGACAAGCAACCAACTGATATAAATGTGATTTACATTTACACAAAAATAGTCAAATCTTGGCTTGTAACTAGAACAAATTATAAAATAACAAAAATCCTATATTTTGCCACCCAAATATTATGTTTAGTGCTAAAAACTTCTAATTATGTGATTTCTACCAACATTGAATCAAGTAATTTGCTTCCCGTAGAGATTGACACGAAACCCACGAGAGGAGGCAAAGTTTTTTACTCGTGACTCACACCGTGTGTGTATGTGCACACGTACAACTGTAATTTCAATGCACTACTGGATGAGAGCCACACCACAACATGCACGTTTTGGTGGGAGGAGTCATTTTACCATACTTGACCACGCTGGTCAGTGCAGGTTGGTGAAGATGGACAGCATGGATGTTGGAACGCGACAAAGCACAATGGGTTTTGCTGCACTGCCCTCTGCTGACGACGTAGGGCCACAGCAACAGGCTATGTTGTTATACAAGGTGGTCGCCCAACCCAGCGCTATCCAAGGTCGATCCTGCCGAACTTCCAAGATCTCATGAGATCTGGCACATTCCAGGTGATTTGCTCATAGGCAGTGTAAATATGAATACATATAAACATGCAATGATTCAAAAAAGAGCGTGCATCTTGTTTGCACGGTACGTATGTTGAACTTGTTTCGCACCGTGCTAATCGGAAGTGCCAGGAGAAGGACAACAACCTAAACACAAACATCAGAGTACACGTGAGCAACGCGTCGTTGTCGTAATCTCAATGCCCGGCTAATGATGGCACAACGGCCCTGTTTTGTTCTGTGCTCAGGTCAGAGGAACCGTGGCAAGACGGAGGAGAGCAGCTGCTGCGTGATCCTTTAATCGCACCTCGTGGAAATGAAACAAAACCAGCCATCAGCTTCTGCTGGCCGCTTCCCATAAATCACCTCCCCATCTCTCCCTCGGGAGTACATGAGGCTGTGATTTTTAGGGATGTGGAGTGCAGTGGGGAGCTGGGGTGGGGGTGCTGCAGTTATGGGGGGGGTGAGCGTGTGGGGGTGCAGTGGGATGGGGGCAGGTGTTGTAGGGTAAAGCTCGTTTACCTTTTCAATTCAGAGTTGTAATTTACGATGAAGATAGCCGGGGGGGGGGGGGGAGGGGGGGGCAGCAGACCGCCCAGTCCCGTTTAGTCCCACGCGATGTCAGAGGTATACAGTAATGTGAACAAGGTCACTTTTCTCATGCTCTTCTTATTTAAACGGATTGCTCCAACGGCGTTTGGAGGAAAGAAGAAGAATAACCGGAGCTGTGGCAGGTGGTTGGCTTGAGGGGGGCGTGTGTGGAAGAGCAGGCATTGTGGGTGCCCCGAGGCATTGCCCATTGTGCTGCTTTTCTCCATCCCATAATAAAGCCAGTGTGGTGTTATTAAAGCAGTTAGGTTTGCGCCTGTGTGTATTTGATTGAGTCCTATTGAAGCTTATCTCCATTAAAACATAACTCGCTACAATCACCTGCCAGAAATAGAATAACTTTAGACGATTGTTGCATTTCACTGTCGTAGAGGAGTGTACACTGGGGTTTGCAAATACTGTTCCGTACTTAGCTAGCCGCTGGTGTAAGACCGGAGAAAATCTCACCGCATTTACCATTAACACACTTGGCCTGACTGTGACAGAAAAATGTGGCCTCAGAACCAAGGATTTGGAGCACTGCTTTTGTGGAACGTGGACCAGAGTTCTGACCACATCTCATCGTGAGATGTGATGATTGTAAGTGACCCTCGTGAGGGGAGAGAGAGATCTGAAAAAGCCATTGCCAAAAATGTTATCTATATATTTTTCTGATGCTCGGGCAGTGTTAAATGATGGCTGTGATGATTTTTTTTTTGGCCTGAGCTTATAAACTACTGCCAATGCAGTTCTATGTTTAACTTAACATAATATGAGAGTATTTTCACCTGTATATTCCAAGATATCGATTTTAACTGAAACCATATTCAGAAACAGATCCTATGATGGTTGTAGTGCATTGTACAGCATTGCCTAAAATGGGCAAAGATCTTGTTTTCTCATATAGACCAGAGGGACAATTGCTGGCGGTGAGCATCCAGCAAGGCCAACAGGGTGGTGTGGCCGACACACCATGCATGCGTCTCCCCAATGCTGATGTTCACAAACCATAGCAGGTGCCTGTTTAAGGCCGAGTCAACCTGGGGAAGGCCCAGGGCAGCCTCGGATATTCCTGCCTAGAAATCAAACCCAGGTCACCTCGAAAATATATTATAACACATACACACAAACAACCATCTCTTATACAAGAGAGACTGAGGGGCAAGTAGCTTATAATGAGTACCTATTATAAACAACACGACACACAACAGTGGTGGGGCTGGCTCCATATTTGCCCGGCCATATTTTCTTTGTGTTCCCACTACCAATGCCACATCATCATTGTGGTAAATGGGCTGTTGTGCATCTGTGCGCAGATGTGCACTCACCTGAGTGGAGAGCACGAGTAAAAGTGAATAATGGACAAATTATACAGTTGAGATGAAAGCAAAATGCTAGTTTGGGACGTCATACACTCGAATATACTTTTGCCAATGCCACACGCCCGCATGGAGTTATAAGTTCATCACCTGTCCTGTTGAACCCTCTGCTTGGCACTGATTCAAGGCACAATGGGGTATCATTGTCACCATTAGTTATCAATATCTCACAGAGCACCTAAACGTGCATTAACCTTTAATACCCACGATTAATTAATCTTTACGCTTTCGCCCAAGGGATGGAAATTGGATCTGCGTGGCTGTTTCCCTTAAATCTGTAATCAATAGATAGTAATTATAGACGCAGTATAACAATGTACTATTATTTTACTAATTTATTTGGAAATCATTAAAAGATGACACAACCCAAAACATAAACAGTGATTGGTTTGTACCTAAGCTGCATGTTAAGAGTTTAAATATTCAATCACGTTCAAATAAATTTCGATTTAAAGCTTTCGTGACTGCAGGGATTCATCTTCTTGTTTCTTTCGGTAAAGTCACGTAGAAGGGAAGTAATAAAATAATAAAAATAAAACATAATAAAACAATTCTCACGACGTTTCGGCTACAACGCAAGCAGCCGTCTTCAGGTGAAGAATGAGACACTACCAAACTAGGAGCTTATATATAAGCTGCATTGGGGGTTGAAGAGCGCCTTAACAAAAAGAATGTGCATGTGAAGAGGGATTTAGCATATTCATGGGAAATGCGTAGGCGTTGGGCGGGGGGGTGTCAAAGTCATATTATGCCCATGCATTATGCAGGATCAGCAGCAACCAAGGGGGGTGCAGGGATTAGCAGTAACAAAGGAAAGGAATGTTAATGATATGTAGCTGCAGTTACTCAACAACCACGTAGAAAACTAAAGTATAAACTACATAAAAAACTAAAGTATAAACTGCATCGCACCATCAGTATACTTACTATACTCTATAATAAGCTGAGTTACTAACAGCAAGTAATACATTACAATTTTACCTCGTAAAAATTCTATAATATGCTTCCATCTAAACCTTATTCTCTTACATCACACGAGCATATACCGTACTATATACTGCCATAGATAAACCCAACATTAAATTATATACTGTATTGCTGTAAACCAACCTATATCTTATACATTTAATATCACACTATGTATTATTCTACACACCCTAATGTGTATCGAAATGGTTTATTACGTCCTTCCAATGATTGCTGAGCCAGAATCCATCTTCTCGGTTAAAGTTGTCTCTGTGTTTGTATATGTGGATCGCCTCATGAACGAATCTCTCATGATAGCCAGACAACTTGATTTCCAAATTCAATCGCCTCTCAAACAAGAAACCGGACCCACACATTGAAAAGCTAGATATTAACAAAGTCGTAATTAATCGCAGTAACAGTCCTATTTCTGAAGGTTTGAAATCCGTTTTAGCTAAAGGACTAAACTTTGCAGTCACACCTAGACACATACCAGTTAATGATATAATTGCTCGAGTAGATGTAGCTCTCAAGGGCTTGAGTCACATCGCTGCAGACGTAGCAAGATCCGAAATCTCTGTAACCCTCAAAAACGCTAAGATGCCAGCTAGCAACATCAGCAAAGAGGAGCGTTTTGAATTAGCTCAATTAAAAAAGAGGGATGACATTGTCATCCTCTCAGCCGACAAAGGCAATGCCACTGTCATCATGGACAAAATAGAATACAACAACAAAATTCAAGAACTACTAAACGATGGCAGCTATACAAAAATAAAAAGAGACCCCACCAACAGCCTCGTCTCCAAAACCAACAACATCATTTCTGCTTCAACCGCATTAATTGATCAGACCAAACAGTTCTCGTTGAAACCTTCTGCAGCCAGACCACCAAGATTGTACGGCTTGCCAAAGATACATAAAGAAGATACACCTCTTCGTCCCATTGTCTCTACTATCAACTCCCCCACTTACAAACTGGCTCGTTTTTTGTCCGAAATCCTACGGCCTTTCACTGGAAAAACCACCTCTGCAGTACTAAACTCTACTGACCTGGTATCGACAATCAAGGGGATTGCCCTGTCCCCAGACGACCTGCTTGTCAGTTTTGATGTGGTTTCCTTGTTCACCAAGGTACCTGTGCCTGACACCATCGCAATCATTGAAGACTTGGTTCATCAAGGACTGAATGCTGGGGTACCCCCCCTGGTGAGACACTGCTTAACCAATACATACTTCACCTGGAATGGAACCTTCTACAAGCAAATTGAGGGCACCCCAATGGGCTCCCCCCTATCTCCGGTTGTAGCCAACATCTTCATGGAGAAATTTGAGACGGACGCCATCCAGACTGCCACTCTACGCCCGACCTTATGGAAGAGGTACGTAGACGACACTTTTGTCATCTGGCCACATGGCTGGCCTGCTCTAGACCAATTTCTCGACCACATCAATTCCATACACCCAGCCATCAGATTCACCATGGAAGTCGAAAATGATGGCAAGCTACCCTTTTTGGATGTCCTAATCAAAAGGAGACCTGATGGTTCAATGAGCCACTCTGTCTACAGGAAAGCCACCCACACGGATGCTTATCTAAAACCGGATTCCCACCACCATCCATCTCAGAAGAATTCCCTCATCAAGACTCTATATCATAGAGCCCAATGCATCTCCGACCATGAACACATTTCCAGTGAACTCAAACACGTACGCCAAGCTCTTAAGGCAAATGGTTACTCCGACTATACAATCCGCAAAGCCATCACTCCAACCATCAAGAAGGATCCTGTTGAGGAGCCTTTCAAGACCATCACCTTACCCTACATTGCTGGGGTCACAAAAAAGATCTCCAAAATCCTGATTAAACACAAGATCCAGGTCCGATTCAACACAGTACATAAAATCCGTGATCTGGTACCGTCTGTAAAAGATGTGGTTCCAGACATACAGTACCCTGGCGTCTACAAACTAAGTTGCCTCTGTGGTAGCAGTTACATTGGGGAAACCAAACGACATGTCTCGGACCGCATCCGTGAACATAAAGCTGACCTGAAACACGGTAGGACTAACACCTCAGCCGTGGCAGATCACTGTTACAACTCAGTGGGCTCACATGATATTGACTTCTCCAAGACAGAGGTTCTCTGCAAGCCATCTGGCTATCATGAGAGATTCGTTCATGAGGCGATCCACATATACAAACACAGAGACAACTTTAACCGAGAAGATGGATTCTGGCTCAGCAATCATTGGAAGGACGTAATAAACCATTTCGATACACATTAGGGTGTGTAGAATAATACATAGTGTGATATTAAATGTATAAGATATAGGTTGGTTTACAGCAATACAGTATATAATTTAATGTTGGGTTTATCTATGGCAGTATATAGTACGGTATATGCTCGTGTGATGTAAGAGAATAAGGTTTAGATGGAAGCATATTATAGAATTTTTACGAGGTAAAATTGTAATGTATTACTTGCTGTTAGTAACTCAGCTTATTATAGAGTATAGTAA